CTCCAGTACTTTGGCCATCTCATGAGAAGAGAAGACTCCCTGGAAAAGACCCTGATGTTGGGAAAGTGTGAAGGCAAGAGGAGAAGGAGACGACAGAGGATGAGATGGTTGGACAGTGTCATCAAAGCGACCAACATGAATTTGGCCCAGCTCTGGGAGGCAGTGGAAGACAGGAGGGCCTGGCGTGCTCTGGTCCACGGGGTCACGAAGAGTTGGACACGACTAAATGACTAAACAACAACAACAACAACTTCGTCAAGTGCTTTGTCTGGAAGGGAGCAGAACAGGGTTTGAATTAACAGGTAGTTAAATAAATGTGACTGTCCTTTAACCTAAGTTGGAGCTTTGAAGCTGAGCAAGTGGCACTTCAGTGAACTGATTTATTTCTCTTGCTAAGCTGAAGATTTGTGTTCCTTGTCTCTTCCATGTGCTCTTGTCAGAGAAAGCAAAAATTATGTTTCAGTCATTGTGAAAAGATTGAGGGGATTAACAGAAGAATACTGTATTTTTCCATGTATAAGACATCTCCATGTATAAGACACCCCCCACTTTTCTAATCCAAAATTAAGAAATCTAAGTGGGGCTAAGCAAGTGTAGGGGGAAAGAGATCAAGGAGCAGGATGGCTTTGATCCCTGCTTTCTCCTCCACTTGTTTTTGTTCTCTCCTCAGCTTCCATGTATAAGATGACCCTCAATTTTTAGTCTAAAGATTTTAGACAAAAGTATAATCTTATACACGGAAAAATACGGTATTTGGTTGACTTGGAGAGATGTCAGTTTGTTTCTGCATAAGTTCTTAGACTATTTGAAGACTGTCTACTTTATTGGAGAGTGGAATCTGATAAGCTTACAGGAAGTAAATTTTTGAACTCTGATATGTCGATGCTGCTGAGCGTGAACTAGAACTGCCCTTTCCTGTGACAGGAGTTAAACTGTTTGCTTCCTCCTGCTGGCTGGAACGAAGAACACCATTGTATGCCATGACAATTTAAAAAAAGAAGGAGATCGCAGTCTGGGACAGGACTGTCCTTGAGACAAAAGTGTAAGCAAATTGGAGAGGACAAAGGCTTTTGAGGATGACACAGCAAATCATTTGGAGAATACTGGAAATAGTGAAGAAGCACAAGGTGAAGTGAGAAAAGAAGAAAACATGATGAATGAGTTTCAGAAGCTATTGGAAACAGCTGTTAAAGAAATGAAGGTAGGTAATGAAGGTAGGTCCTGTGATGAGATGGGTTTGTGAGTTAAAATCTTTTAAGGCATATGGGTTTTGTAATTAAGCGGCCTCTTGTGACCGAACCTGATAGCGCAGCTAATTCAGTAATACAGGTATTCAGGGGTGAAGGGAAGGATCAATTTAGCCCAGGACAGATATTGGAGCCTGTGTTAGCTAATCACCAAAACGTCTTCTCGAATTCACCGGGAGAAACTAATGTGGTGAAACATATTATTACAGTCAATGTTGAGACGTTGGTAGAAATTGTTGCAAACACTGAATACATTTCTGTGATTGGAATAAAAGGAGGGCTTTATCAGATTTTAATTAAAGAGGAACATCGCCCTTATACATCATTTAATTGCCCTCAGGGAATTTACCAACTCAGAAAACTAGCACCTGAAATGAAAAATACCTATGTTACCTTTCAGAAATTGGTTGATGAATTGTTTGGTGATTTATATTACGTGATTGGCTATGTAGGCAACTTTGTAATTTACAGCCCTGATCCAATTCAAGCAGACCAAAAGCCCAGCTCTGGGAGGCAGTGGAAGATAGGAGGGCCTGGCGTGCTCTGGTCCATGGGGTCACGAAGAGTTGGTCACGACTAAACAACTAAAGGAACGAACGAAGTTTACCTAGTTTACTCATAAGTTTACAGATCCATATTATTTAATATGATTTTTAGATGTATTCTTCTCTAAACCAGCATAAAATCATAGATTCCATTTGCACCCACAGACTACACAGAACTCATGGGTCCGAGCCTGTCATTGCTCTGGTGCCTCAGAATGTTATTTTCAAAATGCACCCTTGAACAAGCTGTGAAGGACTGAGTAAGTAATAAATGTGAGCAGCTGAAAGCACCTCCATCCTGATAAGACTTAAAGGATGAAGCTTTATGGTTGTTTACTTCATTAAGTACTCCAGTACTTTGGCCATCTCATGAGAAGAGAAGACTCCCTGGAAAAGACCCTGATGTTGGGAAAGTGTGAAGGCAAGAGGAGAAGGAGACGACAGAGGATGAGATGGTTGGACAGTGTCATCAAAGCGACCAACATGAATTTGGCCCAGCTCTGGGAGGCAGTGGAAGACAGGAGGGCCTGGCGTGCTCTGGTCCACGGGGTCACGAAGAGTTGGACACGACTAAATGACTAAACAACAACAACAACAACTTCGTCAAGTGCTTTGTCTGGAAGGGAGCAGAACAGGGTTTGAATTAACAGGTAGTTAAATAAATGTGACTGTCCTTTAACCTAAGTTGGAGCTTTGAAGCTGAGCAAGTGGCACTTCAGTGAACTGATTTATTTCTCTTGCTAAGCTGAAGATTTGTGTTCCTTGTCTCTTCCATGTGCTCTTGTCAGAGAAAGCAAAAATTATGTTTCAGTCGCTGTGAAAAGATTGAGGGGATTAACAGAAGAATACTGTATTTTTCCATGTATAAGACATCTCCATGTATAAGACACCCCCCACTTTTCTAATCCAAAATTAAGAAATCTAAGTGGGGCTAAGCAAGTGTAGGGGGAAAGAGATCAAGGAGCAGGATGGCTTTGATCCCTGCTTTCTCCTCCACTTGTTTTTGTTCTCTCCTCAGCTTCCATGTATAAGATGACCCTCAATTTTTAGTCTAAAGATTTTAGACAAAAGTATAATCTTATACACGGAAAAATACGGTATTTGGTTGACTTGGAGAGATGTCAGTTTGTTTCTGCATAAGTTCTTAGACTATTTGAAGACTGTCTACTTTATTGGAGAGTGGAATTTGATAAGCTTACAGGAAGTAAATTTTTGAACTCTGATATGTCGATGCTGCTGAGCGTGAACTAGAACTGCCCTTTCCTGTGACAGGAGTTAAACTGTTTGCTTCCTCCTGCTGGCTGGAACGAAGAACACCGTTGTATGCCATGACAATTTAAAAAAAGAAGGAGATCGTAGTCTGGGATAGGACTGTCCTTGAGACAAAAGTGTAAGCAAATTGGAGAGGACAAAGGCTTTTGAGGATGACACAGCAAATCATTTGGAGAATACTGGAAATAGTGAAGAAGTACAAGGTGAAGTGAGAAAAGAAGAAAACATGATGAATGAGTTTCAGAAGCTATTGGAAACAGCTGTTAAAGAAATGAAGGTAGGTAATGAAGGTAGGTCCATGGGGTCACGAAGAGTCAGACACGACTAAACGACTAAACAACAATGAAAAAACTGCAAGGGAAATGAAGGCAGACAATTAAAAAAAATACTCTCACAGAACTGTGGCACAAATTAAAAAGGAGATGGAGAAAACTACAGCAGACCTCAAGAAAGGTATAAAAGCATTGGGTCTATAAGTTCAAAAGACTAAAAAAAATGAAGGCAGACAATTAAAAAAAATACTCTCACAGAACTGTGGCACAAATTAAAAAGGAGATGGAGAAAACTACAGCAGACCTCAAGAAAGATATAAAAGCATTGGGTCTATAAGTTCAAAAGACTAAAAAACGGGCAAAAGGAAATGCAACACTGATTCCTCAGCAGAGAGATAGATTAGATCAAATTTATAAGAGAACTATTGATCTTCAAGATAGAAATTGAAGAAGTACTGTACTGTGAAAATCTGCAGATTTCCTGAGGGAACAGGCACACAGAAGAGAAATCTGCAGAATGGAATCCTGGAATTGCTGAAGGTAATAGCTCTAGGAGAACAAGGGCGGGAACAGGACATAGCAAGAGTGCATCATGAAGGATAAAAGCACAGATCTGGGATGTTACCGAGAGATCTAATGTTGAGATTTACACATTTCTAGAGAAAAGAAATGTTTATGAAATCAGTGAGAGAAAACTCTGGGCAAAGTACAAAGAGGCAACTATTCAAATCTATCAAGATCTTTGCTCTGAAACCATAAGCTGGAGATGTTAAATGTATCCTGTGAATATTGTACTCATCAAGAATGGAATAAAATACAACTGGGGTTATCCAGTTTATATGAGAGTATTTTACAATGGGGAAGCGTCAGGTAATAATTTCAGTGGAGCAAGGTGTGGAAATGTGTCAGTGGAGCTTGTTGGGCAATAATCAGAGCACAAAGCCATAAGGCAGATAGGAAGCAAGATTCAGCTGTTAGTTCAGAGCAATAATGTTTCATTAAAAAGCCTCTTTTTTATGTTTATGTGAAATAGTATGGGGAATCATGGAAATCTGAAACATTCTACAGGCTAATGGACAAAAGGTGTTGAACAGGAGTCCCTCAGCATCGGTACATTTCACAAAGTGACACCACAGAAGTGAAAATCCCACAGGCTGACTCCATTTTTCATCAGTTAAGAATTTCTCACCCAAACACAAGGTTAAGGCTGATTTTCATCAAGTGTGAATGGTAGTGAATGGAAGAGGGTGACCATCTTGACTGCTGCCATTGGTGTTGTCAACATTCAGGCTGCCTTTTGCTATAGCATCTTTTTTCCTGCTGGCAACACAGGCATACTTTTTTGCAGCAATATTGGGCCATTTCCTCACTTTTTGAATTGTGAGTACAGAAGTACAATATTTCATTCATAAACCGGAAGGTGTTTTTGAAGAATTGAATATTAAGTGCAAAGATGCCCATAATTCCTGGTGCACCACCCGTGAGTGTGACACGCCCCTCTGCGGGTGTGGGAGTGCCCCTGCCCATCCACGCATGGAGCCCGCACCCCCAACCGGCCCGGGGTCCGAAAAAGGTTGGGGACCTCTGTTTTAGGACACACATGGGCCCTTAATTCCACTTAGCCACCAATACATTTCCCTGATTGTTGCTGCACTAAAGGAGAGGTATTTCCTCCCCGCCTAATGCTACGTTAAATCCATATAAACACTTGCACACCCAGTCTTTCTCTCTGCTCATCCGTCATCACTCTCTGTTTCTGATGTGCAGGCTGCATATTATTTTATTGTAACCAAAATCAGGACATGAGGGGGAGAAACTGTGGAATGTTGACTGCTGAGGGAATAAATGGATAACTGAGGAGTTAGTAGGAAGGAAATGATACAAGGAGGCTGGAAACCCAAACAAAAGCATTCTACAACTGGAATGTTTTGTTACGGGTCCCATTTACCTCCAGTGTTGCTTCTTGTGATCAATAAAGTTGTCTAAACATGCTAATTGACTTGCTCTTAACATATTAATCCCATCTGTGTCAAAATGACTTTGTGACATCAAAACATATCCAGAATGGATAACAGAGTCCAAACCTGTGAAACGTAATTATATGTAGCTCTCAATAAGTACTGGTATAGGTTTCTGTCCCTCTTCCTTAGTGTTACAGCAGCTTTCATTGGTCCAGGGAAAGGAAAAACGAAATCATCATTCTGATTACCAGGCTTAGAAAACTCAGAGCACAATTGCCAGCCAAATATCTTAGACACTGGAGCAAAGAAAGAAAGGGATGGGTAGGAGAAGGGAGAGACGACTGCTTAGTTCATTAAAAATTATTATTGTTATTTATGAAAAATATGTTGTTGAAGAAGAAACCATAGCATACAGAAAGTTGATAACAAGATGGAGGAAATTCTGCACTGCTGAATTTCTACTAGTGCTGCAGGTAATTTTCATCTACAAAAATATTTTGCAAATAAAATTAAAAAAAATATGTTTTTGGGATAACTACATCCCCAAATCCATTTGGGTTAATTTTTCTTTTTATAACATAATGCAATATATATTGAATGAAAAACTGTAATTTTCTGCAGTCAAATTTGGAAGCAGGTCCTGCTAGAGTTTCAATATCCAACTACATTAAACACAGCTTAACAACTGGTTGACATACATATAACATGACAGTGGTTCTATCTAACTTACCCTCCTCATTTGTGCATGACTTAATCTCCACTTGTCCTGAAAAGTCATCCCAAGTGTCTGTTTCAGTCACTGTCATTGGACAGAGTTTGGAGCTATAATAAAGAAGATGGTTATTGCAGTTTAGTTCAACCAGTAACACACACATGCACACATAAAATCGCATTGGTTTTTGACAGAACTTAGGTCTAGACATAACGAAGCATCCAGACATACTGCCACATAATAAGGTGGCCTTATTTGCCCTCTTTCTATGTCACTATATCTTGTTCCTGGTGGTGGTGGTGAATTACATTTTAAAGATAAGTTTATCCATGCTGTTTTATAGATTCTGGAGGTTGAAATGAAGGAAATTCCAGATTCTCCCAGATTTAAGGGAGTGGGGACTATAGCTCAGGGACAGAGCATAGGTTTTACATGCAGAGGGTCCTGGTTTCAATTCCTCGCAACTGTAGGTGGGGTAAGAAAAGACCCTGATAAGAAACCTTGCAGAGTGACCTCTAATGTAGACAATCCTGATTTTGAGGACCTGCCGTCTCACAGAGAAGGCTTGGGCTTCTGGGGGAATAAAAAATAATAACACAACAGGTAAGACCTGCTTCTTTGTTTGTTTGTGCCCACCTTGTTTGTTTATGGATCTGATGTCCAACCACAGAAAGTCTGAATTCACCCCATTTCAGCCCACACCCAGCCACTCCCCCAATGGGCTTCTGGGGCACAGTTATTCGGTTTAAATTTTCTTAATTTTTTTTCAGAAGCCATGTGGACTTTGTCTAGCTGGCTGCAATCTACAGGTCAGCCACATGACAGCCTTGGCTTATACAGATGTTAGAATCTATTTCTTGCTTAATGTTTTCTAGATTTTAGGATTTTGTGACTAGAAATGCAAGTATTGAGAATTCTCTAGTTAAGAAAAACCTTCCAAAAGCATCTTAGAAAAGATAAGCCTTGTGCAGATACCCACTGAAGGGACCTCGTGGCCCTTTAGATTTGGTGGTCTACAAATTTCATTATCTCAGACCACCAAACATGGGGGGGCTGGAAAAATGGAACCCAGAAACCATGACAGGGCCACAGGTTCCCTGTCTCTGGGGTAAATCCCTAGGCAATGGTCCAACCTATGCATTTTACCTGAAATTGACAATGTCCATAGAGTCTTCAGGAGTGTTCAAAAATATCTTAAACTCTTTCCCTTTTTTCACCTGGATCCCCCCATCAAGACTGGTTGATGATCTCAGTCTGGTTGACCAGCTCAAGCCCGTCTTCCCCAGAGTGCCTGCAGTTCCCATCTGGGCAGAAATCTGAAGGAGAACTCTACAAAGAAACAACACACATTCAAGAGGGACCAACAGCTTGGCTCTTTTGCACCTTTTGGAAATCAAATTCTCAAATTAACAGACATTTATGTGTGTGTGTGTGATATATATACATTTATTTATTTATTTAACTTATGGTATATGAAGCCCACTCTACCCAAAGGTCTCTGGGTGGCTTACAACAATTAAAATTCAACTAAAATACAATAAAAGATAAAATGATTAAAATACAATTAAAATTGCCATCAGGACCCACAGTTGATGTTATCTCATTGTATATATATTCATGTCTCCCTGGAATGTCTATATACACACACATATATGTATCCCTACATACATATACATACATATACACATACACATACACATACATACATATATATACATATGTACATATATATATACATATACATATACATATACACATATACATACATATACATATATATATACATATATACATACACACACACACACACACAATAAAAATAATACCTTTCTCCCAATGAAGCACTGTGAGCAGTAAGGATATCAGGAAGCATCTCTACTTTGCCAGAACTTAGGAAAAGTTCTAGCCTTTCTCGGCTGGAAGGCCTGGGGTCTCTTAATCATCATGGGTAGAGATGGCCACAAGCCACTGGTTTGGCATAGTCTGTTTTCCAACTGAACGGCTGACCCACAGTTTGATGCTCTGCCCCCTCCAGTGGATGCCCACTCGGCAGCAGCACCCAGAGGAAGTGGGGCAGGGTGCTAGCACTGGCTGGGCACGTTGGAGGGGACCGGGTGCTAAACCACAGATCAGCTGTGTGGCGGAGAAACAAACTGTGCTGAACCAGTGCTTGTGCCCATCTCTAATCGTGAATCTTGGCACACGCTCACTAGGCCAGCATTCATGATGAGTGGAGGATCCTGGGAACTGCAAGTCAGAAGAGGGAGTTTTCCGAAGCTCTTGTTGTGTTGCCTAGGTTTTCTCATAAGTACCATATTTTTCCATGTATAAGATGCCCCAACGTATAAGACAATGCCCCTTTTCTAATCCAAAATTAAGAAATCTAAGTAGGGCTTAGCAAGTGTAGGGGGAAAGGGATCAAAGCGCTACAGGATCGCTTTGATCCCTGCTGTCTCCTCCACTTGTTTTTGTTCTCTCCTCAGCTTACTTTCATGTATAAGACGGCCCTCAATTTTTAGTCTAAAGATTTTAGACAAAAGTATAGTCTTACACATGGAAAAATACAGTACTTTCTGAAGCTCTGTACTCTATTATGCCCCATCACATTGTTTGGTTTTTCCATACAAGGCCATTGCAAGTCTGGTCAGTTGCAGCTATTTCAGGCCTGAGTGCCAGTTATTCTGCAACTAAAATGGTCTCGCCTGGCTTTAATGGGGAGGAATGATACAGTATCAAGATATTCCAGGGAGACATGAGGCTTGCAAACATGTACAGGTAAAGGTCAAGACAGCACTCCAGGACTGGGCCTGCTCAGCAGCCATGAAATATAGACTGACCATTGAGAGGAAATAATGGAAATCATAAGAGAGAAGGAGGAACAGAATATTATAGAAAACCACAGTTGGTAGTACCAGATTCTGCCTCTAGATCTGATCGATGAGGCCCTGTTTATCAAGCCATGGAGAATGAGATTCATTCACCAGCTTTAGCCAAAAAGCATGACTGTTTATATGAAATATATCTTTTTAAAAATGTTACAGAATTACTGCTGAATAGACTTGCTGCAAATGCTCTCCCTGCAATGAATATAATTCATTTTTAAAATGCAGATGTATACCTTGGCTTTATATAACCATTGATGAAAAAATTGTTTCGCTGTTTGAAATCCATGTTGCCTTTGACTGTCACATTGATTGCTGCTGAGGCATTAAGAGCCAGGAGAACTGGCAAGCCTGAGATGGCTGGGAACATAAGTTCTTCTGTGGCCAAACTCAGCCTTTTGTTAAACTGGATTTCTTGACCCTGTTGGAAGATTGAGAGAGTCTATATCAAAATACAGTACAAGGCATGTACAACTAGTTTCTTACCTCTAGGTGGGTCAGGAGTAGAGATGGGGACAAATAAAAAAAGGTGATTCATTTTGATGTTATTCGTCAAAGTTAACGGATCAACTGTGGGTCAGGATTAGAGATGGGGACAAATAAAAAAAGGTGATTCATTTTGATCTGTTATTCGTCAAAGTTAACGGATCAACAAATACGAATATATGAATATTCTTTGATGAATTGATGAATCAATTTGTCTATTCATCTGCACTTTAAACAGCTATAACACCGGCTCCCAACCACCTAGAGGCACCAAATTTGCAGGGAGGCTTCCTCAGACACGTTCCTACAACTCCTAAAAGTTTGGTGAATATTGGATTATGGACCCCAAAGTTATATAGTCACAAAGAGGACCCCCCAAGAAAGCTGCCCCCAGGTACTTAGAGACTCCAGAATCACAACGGAGCTTCCTAGGTCTTTCCCCAGTAAGCCTACCAACCTTGGTGAAGATTGGATACTGGACACCTGTGTTATTCACCCACAAATTGGGTCCTCCCAGAAGAGTTTACCACATGGCACAGAAGCCCATTCTGCCGACAGGCCGCCGATCAGCTGATCAGAAGCCAATAGGCAGACACACACACAGCCAGCCACCCCAACTGCCTACCCCGCACCCCCTTCCTTTCCCTACCTTAACCCCCACCCCAATCCCACCGACACCTCCCTACCTTAATAGCTGCTGCCTAGGTCTCCATCAGGCCTTTGCAGCCATGGTGTGTAAAAAGGGAGACTGGTTGCCCTTTGCAAAGATGGCAGCTGCAGCTTCCCTACCCTAAATGAAGCTGCAGCCACCATCTTTGCAAAGGGCAGCCAATTTCCATTTTTACATGGATGGTTCTGAGGCCAGAAGACCTCTGCAGCAGCAATTAAGGTAAGAGGGTGTCGGTGGGGGTGGTGTGGTGTGGGGCCTAAGGTAGGGAAAGGAAGGGGTGGGGTAGGTTGTGGTATTGGGTGGCTGTGTGGGGTAGTGGCTGCCTTTCTGCCGCCAATCAGCTGATCAGTGGCTAGTAGGCAGAATTGTGTTTTTTGCTTTTTTTTAATATGAAGGATGAATAAAAGCAGATAAATATTCATCCCTTCGTATTCGTGGGGGTCTCTGAAACCCACGAATATGGATCAATTAATATTTAACGAATTGGCTATATTCGTCGGAAAAAGCGATCCGTTTTTATATTCGTCCCCATCTCTAGTGAGGATTCATCACCTAATCGATGATAGGTGCTCTGGATTTCCAAGAGGCAGCTATGCAGCCGGGATAGGGATTCAAGGTGCGGGACTAGTTGGACTTAATTTTCATTGGTGACTTGACTCACACTCAACTCAGGTTTTTTTAATGACTCAGACTCGACTCGTAACTTGGAACCCACTCCCTTCCTCCCTTTTCTTCTAGGGAAAAAAGTGTAATAGGGGCTTAGACTTGGGGTTTGGGACTTTGTACCAAAGACTCAAACTCCGACTTGGTACCAAAGACTTGGACTTGCACTTAGGATTCGGACTTGCCAACATCTCTGCTATGCCAGTCATTACCCTGCATTTTCCTACCAGCTGAAAAAGGAGAGATGGATTGGGTAGGAGCCAAACAGAGATCCAAGTTGAAAAACTCCATCCATCCTTTCATCTCTCCTAACCAAAACTCTCCCCACACCTGGAGCCCATATGATTTAGACTACATTACGCTGGCAGGGGTTGTTAGGAGCCCAAAATGCCCAGATGGCACCACGTTGTTGGAACCATTCACTGTTCTCCTACCTTCAGAAGTTTCAATACTAAGTCTGCCAGATTTAGGTAGTAATGTTTGGCTTGGCTTCTCAGCTCTCTGCAGTCCAGCACAGCAAGCTCATTTCCAAAGACCTTTATGCTCAGATCACATTTTGGTTTCTTCTTCTTTCCCATTCTTTTGGTGAACTGTTGCATAAACAAAGAGAGGCAACTGATGTAAAATCATTCCAAAACTAACCCCAAAAAGACCAGTTGTGTTTTTACTTTTTAAAAGTATTATCTTTGGTATGTAAAGTGACAAGTTTTCAGAATAAGGACTCTGTCTCAGGATTCACCCACGGGTAGGTATCAAAAGGAAGATAAGAACTGATAGTAATCAACCAGCTGCCATGGAAAAGTGCACAAGCAAGATATTAGAGAATAGCTGTTTTCTATTCTCTACTCCAGTCCTCTGAAGATGCCAGCCACAGAGACTGGCAAAACGTTAGGAAGAACAACCTTCAGAACACGGCCAAAGAGCCCAAAAAACCCACAACAACGAATAGCTATTTTCCTTTGTTTGTTCCCAATCATCTGATATTTCAAGACATGCTGCCTCTAAGCCTGGAGGTTCTACTGAGCTACCATGGCTTAATAACCACATCAAGAGCCCTTTTGGACCCCAGAAACAAACAAAGGAAAATAGCTATTCTGAGCTACCATGACTTAATAACCACATCAAGAGCCCTTTTGGACCCCAGTTGGCATGTAAATTCTAGTTTGATTTGTCCTTGTGTGATAAATGAGAAACTATTGAAAATATTGGAATTCTTCTCTTCAGTGTGAACTGAGATAGGGGTTTTTGGTGAATCTCAGGGAAAACTTGGGCATTTTCTTGAGTGTTTTTGTGCATTTCTAGAAAATGTGCAATACTGGAAAATGTTATCATGATAGCTTACCAAGGACTGAACAGGTTGTAGCACTGGATGACTTCTTTGTATATGTGACCTATCAGCCATCTTGTTGTATTTCTTCTCTCTCTCTCTCTCTCTCTCTCTCTCTCTCTCTCTCTCTGTATACACTAGTGTTGTGTGGAAAATGAAACTTTGTACAAAGTATATTATGGGCAAAACTTGAAAACCACAACAAAAAACAACTTTTGGCATCTCAGGGCCAAACTGTAGGAAGTGCTAGCCTCACAACTGATAAAATTTTATTCTTCCAGAGATGAATTCCTTCAAAGGATCTGCACAATACAATATGCATATGAAGTCTGTATTTGCATCAAGACAATCACAAAACAAAAGGAAGCTAATTTGAAACCTGTGGAGCTGCAGAAACTATGTTAGTATTGGCCAATGTTAACTATGTACTTGTTTGTATATGAGCACTTTCCAGGGACCAAATTATACATTACTAATAACACATCATTGTAGCTCAAATCTGGAAGACCATCACGTTAAAACAATCTTATTTGCAAGCAAAACCTGTGTTTATATCTGGAGGACAAAGCACAAAACAAAGCAAACTGATTTGCAGACTACCCAGCATAACTCTTGCTGTGGCAGTCAGATGCATTTAGCAGGTAGCAAAATCCTCCTTTTATTGATGTGTTCCTTGTAATGTACAGTTTGATCCCCAAGGCATGTTTTGTGTGGCACAATTGGGGCTAACTGATTACAAATCAGAATTGAATGGATTTTATTTTGAATTTTAAGTTACCTTTTTCACTAGCTCACTCATCTTATTGGATTGTCCATTAGGGCAGCTTTGGTTTTCCATTTTTAACTTGGACTTGCTTCCTTTAGATGGAAGATCATTTCTGAAGCTGAATCTCTTAGACGTCAGATGATTTGGATGAGTTTTATGGGTCTTCTCCACTGAAGGTTCTGGCTTCGAGTCTCTTTCTTTGGCATTTTGATCTGATTGCAGGCCAAAGAACTTCCGTAAAACATCTTCCACATTCTCTAACCTTACACCAAGCTACAAAATGGTACATATGCATTAACTCAGTTGGTGATCCATAGCCAGAGAGTAGACTGATTCAGCAATTGATTCAGTGACTCTACTGTACTTGGGACTAGAATTAGATATAGGCCACTATATCTAGAAGAATATCAGACCATTCCAAAATATTTTGCTGAAAAATGAGTTGAAAAGCCAGATGATGCACACTTTTGCATTCCATGTTCAGAGGCTGGCAGACAGGAAGCTGAATCATAGTTTGCTGCTAGATATGGGATAGTACCCTGTTTCCCCAAAAATAAGGCCTAACCTGAAAATAAGCCCTAGTGTGATTTTTCAGGATGCTTGTAATATAAGCCAAAAGTAAGCCCTAGTTAAGTGAAACCCCGCCCTCCACCATTGTGCAGCAACCAGAAGATGACACGACTATATTTGAATAAACGTAAGTTGTTGTACATGAAAATCATAAAACACCCCCCTGAAAATAAGCCCTAATGCATTTTTGGAGCAAAAATTAATATAAGACCCTGTCTTATTTTCGGGGAGACACAGTATCTTTCATGTCACCTGAGGGCATCATGCCAGCTTAAGGGGTACAGGTAAGGAAGGCTACATGGCAATAAATCTGCAACCTCTCTGCTACTCCCTGCCACCAGTATTTGCTGCTACTGTCAGTCCAATGGTAGGGCAGATATCAGTAACAATTTATCTGCTGCTTGTTGATAAAAAAGCCACATTTTGTGCTGGATGTGGAATCAGTTCTGTGGAATGCCAAATAATCGATTCCACATATGTGACTGCTCCTGCCACTTATTTAAAATTCCTGCTATCTGATACAGTGCAATACCAGATAGCAGGAATTTAGAAGAATAAAATAAAAGCACAGCTCTCCCCCACCCATTGCTTGGCTTGCCCACGCACCCACCCCGTCCCATGTCCCCATACCCTCCCACCGTCACCCATGTCCCTTTCCCCCCTTCCACGCCTTTCCCTTTCTCTCTCGTCCTCCTTCCCCCCTATGCACCCCTCACCCAATCACCCCCTGCCCGCCGCCCATGACTAACCTATTTTGACAGGCAGCGTGGGTGGTGGCTGGGTAATTCCCAGCCATGACTGCTTCCAAGTGGCCTCAAGAAGCTGAAGGGCTGACCATCAGCTGTTCAATGCTGCCCAGGAAACAGTGAGGAAGTAGGGAGCTGAATCACCCAGCTGGGATTTTGGAAGGGGCCTCCTCCCAGTTAGGAGATTCAGCTCCACTGCTTCTCACACTTCCTGGACAGTGCCAAACAGCTGATGGCTTTGCTAGTGGGAACTGAACAGCAATTCAAAAACCACGTCACTGTTATGTAGTACTGAACTGCTCTTATTTGCATTGCTGAAGACAGAGATGCAAATGAGCAATGTAGATTCTCCCTAATTTGCAAGCTACAGGAAACATGAAAAATCACACACAAACTTAAGGACTTCCCTCTTTGATGCACAGAATATCTGTAATAAATAGTTTGGCTCTCACAATTCCGTCATTCAAAAATTACAATCAAAAAGCACGGTGGAAATTTTTTTGAGAATGATAGGCCATAAAGCAAAGATGTAGGAGTCAAGCAGGAAGGGAGAGGGAAGAGAAGAGAGGCAAGAGGGTGTGGCAATTTGTGTTGGAGAAATTCCCCACGTATTTTGACAAGTGGTACTAGGACAACTCTGTGCATCCAAGTGAATACATACAGCCAGGAATACCTTCCTCATGTGTGGACTGGTCAGTGACATTGGGACGATCTATTCAAATGTGCAACAACAACAACAAAACAGAATGACACAGAGCAACTCCAGAACGATCAAGGACAAATCCTAAAATTCTGTCTCAACAAAAATATTGGATCACTACAATTCCTACAAACTGTATCAATACACAAGGCAATTCAGCTGCTGATACATGGTAAACAACTTGCCTCCAAGATATTAACAGCTCTTCCAAGTATGTAGATTGTGAAATTTGTTGCTATCAAACGAGGAAGGAACGACATAGGTGAAAAGATTATCCTGACCTCAACATTGGCACTTCCTGTTCCTGCAATGGAAAATGTAGACATAGAATTTGAGTAGAGCAAAAAACCCTCCAGCACTTCTGGTTTCTTCCCAATGATGGGAACGCAAAAGATTTCAAAGACTTTTTTTCACATATAAAAACAGAATTCATATGAATTTCTTTTCCATTGTAAAGGAATCTGGCCACATGCTATCCTTTGCACAGATGTACAAAAAGTAACGCTGAATCTATAATAAGGCTCTAATTGGGTCGTTCATGCTTTCACTGAGGTCCCATGACAGAGACCATTACTGTCAAATCTACCTGAGTGGAAGGTAACATCTGAATAAGAGGAAAACTTCCACATCTCCCGATCAAATTCTTTGCTCAGAATGTCATCAGGCAGGAAACTCTTGAGATGTTGCTTCAGTGGATCATCAGTCTCCAAAAGCTCAGAAAGGTGACTCCATACAAAGGAACCCACTTAAATCAAGGAAGAGACAGGTACAGGTCAAAGAACAGCACCTACGTCCTTGTGGTTAGTGTTTCAACCAACCAGTCATGCCTTTCCCAAGGAGGTCCAACTAATACTCAGGATCCCATGGCGGCTGGGTACACTCAGTGTTCAGTAAGTTGTTCTTAGCGAGAGACTGCCCACTTGAATATTTATTTATTTATCGTCATTCTAACCTGAAACTACATTCACAGTGTAGTCCCAGGGATGTCTACTCACTAAGTCCAACATTACATAGGTAAAGGTAAAGGTTCCCCTTGACAATTTTTGTCTAGTCGTGTTCGACTCTAGGGGGCGGTGCTCATCCCCATTTCCAAGCCATAGAGCCAGCGTTTTTTGTCTGAAGACAATCTTCCATGGTCACATGGCCAGTGCGACTTAGACACGGAATGCTGTTACCTTCCCACCGAGGTGGTCCCTATTTATCTACTTGCATTTGCATGCTTTCGAACCGCTAAGTTGGTGGGAGCTGGGACAAGCAACGGGCACTCACTCCGTCACGTGGATTCAATCTTACGACTGCTGGTCTTCTGACCCTGCAGCGCAGGCTTCTGCGGTTTAGCCCGCAGTGCCACCACGTTCCTTCAACATTACATACTGTACTACCATATAAATGTACATAGGACTACAGACTAAATGATGCAGTCAAATCAATTCTATGTTTAATCAGAAGCAAGTACAGCTGAATTCAACAAGACTTATTTCCAGGATGATAGCTAAAATCTTTATACAGAATGATATCCAAAATCTTTAAGGGACAAAGCCTATTGTGATGATTCAAAGTAGAGTAATTCTAATTCAAAGTAGAGTAATTCTAATTCAAAGTAGAGTAAAGTACAGTGAGACACTAGGGTAGACCCATTTAATCAATGGGGATTTGGTGAGTCAACTACTTCATAAATTTAATTGATTCAAATGGGCCTAGTCTAACTACAACTTACTATGCTAAGTCGCAGTTACAGTAGGCCCATTTGAATCAATGGAACTTAGGGCTTGATTACACATGCCAAAAGAATCCCAGTTATTCTGATATTGCCATTATTTAAATTGTTTCAAAATTTTCCATTCCCATGACACAAGACCAATATTGATTCATTTGCCCCGGATTATTTCCCCCTTGCTGAGAAGGTTTTACGTTGTACGGATGATGTATTGCTTCATTCCTTATCATTTCAGTGTATATCAACATTACTATTGATTTATTTCCTTTGGTCATTTTGACTTGTACCCTTTTTTGTATTGTTTTGTTTTTTAGAAAAAGAGATATTGGTAAATCACTAGTAGCAGCTGTTGCCACCATAGAAACAACATGAATACATTGATCAGCAGGAGACAGCTCAAAGGAGACAGACTTTTCCCTTCCCTTGTGGGTGAAAGAAAGTTTGAGAGAGGGAAATTTCCTGCTTTGAATTGTAAAGAAAGAGAGGTAGCATTAACATCTCCTCTCTATTTTTTTTTTTAAACCTGGTCTTCACAATACTTTGCAAGTATTTAAAAAACCCTTCCTCCTCCTGACACTGTGCAAAAGAGAATAGAAAAATGAAAACGAAGAACTGAGAGGTATAGATATGCAAAGAAATAAGGAAAAGGGGATGAGTGAGTAAAGGAGGGATGGGAAAAGAGGAGGAGGAGAGAAGGTTTGTACCACTCTATTGCTCTATTAATCAGTTTTGTTAAAAAGACAAGGGGAGGCCTGATTGCCCCAAGAAACAGAAGAGAAAATGAATGAGTACAAAGTTAAAGAGCAGTCTAGCCTGCTATGATGCTTCAAATAGAGAGAAATGAATCAATACAGTTCAAAACAATGTGAACACTCATGCCAATACAGTGGGGTCTTGACTTGAGAACTTAATCCGTAGTGGAAGGCAGTTCTCAAGTCAAAAAGTCTGTAAGTCAAGTCTCCATTGACCTAGAGTGCATTGAATACCGATTAATCCCGTAACAGGCCGTTTTTGTTCCATTTTGGGTTTTTTTCTGGTCTGTAAGTCAAATCTCAGTCTGCAAGTCAAACCTAAATTTTGTGGCCAGAGAAGTCTGTAACTCAAAAAGTCTGTAAGTCAAGCCATCTGTAAGTCAAGGGTCCACTGTATATATATACCATGTGACTACTGGAAAAATGTATTGGCACAACAGAGATATGAAAAGAATTGGTATAACTGGGTTTAATCTCTCATGTGTGATTGAGCCCTTACGGAGAAGTTAACTCTCCAAATCCCCACTGATTCAGTGGATCTATTCTGGTGCAATTTACTACACAGAGCAAAAGGATTTTGGCCAAAGAAATGTAGGGCCCATCCATACTGAGCCTTTGCTCAGCTCTCCTTGTGTCATGTTACTGGTACTCCTTCTTGGTGTCCACATGACACAAGGTTGAAACTACTGTCAACAGAGTCAAAGCAAGACAAAAAAATCCCCTTGCGTTCCACGTTTTTGTTCTGCTTTGCTCCAATCTGCCCTAGTGCCCAATCTTCTCAAGTGGACCCCAGTACCATGCATTTTGTGAGTATATGTTATTTGATGATGTTTCCTCATGTTTCTACCAGTCAGTCTATTCCCTTCCACATCTTATTGCTACTCCTATGGAATTTTCTTGTGATATTAACTGTTCCTGCATTCTATTCTTTAATTTTTAAAAAATGTTATCACTTTTGTACCATAACACAAAAATGGAAAACAATTTTTTTAAAACTTCCATGAAAATATGTAGATATGAAAATGATGGGTGAATAAAACAATGAGGGAAGAGCAAAATAGGTAGGGAAAAGGCAGAGATGGTAGTCAATATTGTAAGTGAGACGTCATGGAGAAATTCTGGATGTGTGCAGACAGGCAGTACCAGGACTACCCAGGGTATCCCAGTATCTCTAGGAACAAATATTCTCTCCATACTGTAACTATTCAAATCTGCAACAAAAAATACTAGAACAATCCAGAGCAACCTCAAAATGCCTGGGGACAGCACTGCACTGTGCTGGTCTGTGCATTTTGTGATAGATACCCTTTATGTAAGCGCTGACTTAGCATTCAGCAATTGATTCAATTGGTCTGCTATGATTAGGATCAGCTGTTGGATTTAATCCTTCAAGTTTGGGTCTAAGTAGGTTGAACCTGAATAATCCAAGGGCCTCATCTCACCTTGGCTGGATCTCTCCTCTTGCAAAGTAAATTTCACTTGATTAAATAATTCTTTGTTGGGACACTTCATTAACATAAGATAAGAAGCAATTCTTATCTCTACATCCTCATCGTAAGTTTGATACAGATGCATTAGTACATCATGCTAAATAAAGAAACAAACAAAGAAAAAGTGAACAAGATTATCAGGGCGGGTAACATGTATCCATACCACATTCCCAACTCAGAACAGCCTTATAAGATAGGAAAAGTGGCCTGAAGACATCAAGTTAGATGTTCTTATTTTCTATAAGAGAAATGAATCACCAAATGTTCGCAGCTGGTTCTGGCTGCCACTGCACACTTTGGAAAATGGACTGCTCAACTGGAGTTGGAATTCACAAGTGTGATACAAAAATGTGGCTCCCATTGATTATCATTGAAAATTTTAAATATTTCAACTTCCTTTGTCTTTACTCAGAACTAGATGGAATACGTAGGCATAATAGTCACTTAAATTGGGATTTGCATGATGGACTCTAAATAAATAGATACTAGGGTTGTTGTTTTTTTAATCACACATCTCTCTTTTTAAGTAAGTCATGTTAGTAATCACACATCTTTATAGTATCATCTCTCTTTTTAAGTAAGTCATGTTAGTCTGTTGCAAAAACAACAAAGAGTTCTCCAGCATCTTTGAAACAAGTTTTATTTGGCATACACTTTGCTTCAGAAGAAATGGGCTATATAGTCCATGAAAGCTTCTGCCAATTATTACGTGTTAGTCCTAACATGCAATGTGGGACTCTTTGTTGTTTTTCTTCTCTTTTGGTGACACATTCTCTTCTCTTTTTTCCTTCTGATGCCTGAGGTGCCACCCTTTCTTCCATATTCATTCCCATCATTCCGCCAACAGTCTTGATATGTGTTTTGTTCAACATAATAATAAAACAGCACTGATTATAATTATATGCCACCTACACTGACTGTACAAGGAATACGTCGGTAGGCCTCTATAGCAGCCAGGCGGATTTCGATGGGATTATTTTTCCATCTTGCACAGGAATTCAGGACAGGCTCGAGAGGTGCTGCTGCCAGTCCTGCATTTCCAATTGCTTTTAAAATAAGTTCCACCTGAAAATCCAAAATGAATTGAGTGAGGTGCCTTTTGAATGTACTGCTTTAACCCAGGGACAAGGGCTTGGCTTACTACATCCTTTGGACTTCACCTTCCAGAAGCCCTAGGGAGGAGTGACAAGGATTAGGGGAGCTGAAGTCCAAATATTTTCCATACCCCCTACTCTAGTCATATTAAGAAGTAATTCACAGAGGACCATAAGTATGTCTGGGGGTGTCATAGAAACGAAGTATAGTGGTGCCTCGCTTAACGAGCGCACCGTACAACGACGAAATCGCATAGCGATCCCTTTTTTGGGATCGCTAAGGCGATCGCTCAACGTTTTTTAGATAGGGCAAAATTCGCTTTGCGAAGATCGCTAAGCGTTTCGCTTACCGATCTTCGCAAAACGAAGCCCGACGATCAGCTGTTCAGCGGCCAAAATGGCCGCCGGAAGCCCGGAAATGGCCCAAAATGGCCGCGCGCAGCGTTTTCGCGCCCTCATTAAGCGAGGGGAGGGCACGAAAATGGCTGCCGGCCATTAAGAAGCATCACTGAACGGTGAGTATTCGGCCCATTTGGAATTCCCTGCCCCGTTCAATGATGCTTCAGCATAGCGAAGGTTAATCCGGAACGGATTAACCTCGCTATGCGAGGCACCACTGTAATTGAGGTTAGCAGTGTGCCTCTGAGTACAAAAAAAAGTTTCCCACTCTTAAACTACCAGATAAACTAGTATGAGAATGTCAGGTGCTTCATCCCAATTTGGCCCTACATGGTTTCCCTGGCAACCATGTCTCCTTTCCCATGCCATCATCATTCCCCTATTTTTGTGAAGCGTTTCCTCCATTCTGAAAGGTTGGAATACCTCTCCTGAGGCATACCACTGGCCATAGCTGCCTAGCTCAGTGAACTGAGTGCAGGAGCCAGGGCTGAGGAGTTCCATTCCCAACCATGTCTTCCAAGAGGAGACCCAGCCTGTGTTATCTTGGGCAGACTTCACAGTCTCAAGAGTGCTGAGGTTCGCCGTAAGTTGGAACGTGACAGCATATAACTGTTATTAAGATAAAATATATTGGTATTTTTGATCCCACCTTTTTGTCTTTGCCCCCATTCCCCAAATTCAGAATATTCCTCAGAGGAATTAAACTGAATTTGGCGTTTGAGCTGAAGGAGATCGCCCACCAATGTGATAAACACTACCTGACCAATTCCCTCCGATTTATGCAAGGTACATTTTTCCCCCAGATGTTGTTCAAGATTCTTCATAACACCCCGCACAGCAGGTTCTTGGTCACAGTTATTTCTCATGGAACAGAAGTGATTCACTAAGGCAGTTATTCCTAAGAAGGCACTCTGTGTTTCTCTTGATAGTTGTAGCAGAGGCTGGAAAACCAAGACACAAAAAATACACACAGCCATATATATACTGATTACAGCACAAAAAACAGAATGGGGTTGCTATATTTATCTCAGAACTGTAAATTTGTCAGTAACCCCTAAGTCAAACTTCTACTAATGCAAGAAATCCACAAATTTCCTGCATTAGATAGACGGCAATCCAACTTCTATTGAAAAAAAAAAATCTCCAATGAAGGGAAATCCATGGCTACATCACTGTTGAACAGCTCTTACAGTTAATAAGTTCTTTCTAACATTAAGTCAAAATCTCGTCAAGCTGACTGGCAATGAAACAGGATATGGTTTAATAGTAGTCTTTATCTGAAGGGATGTTAAATGCAAGATGATGCAGCCATGTTTCTGGTGCTCCAAAATACAAAACTGCTTCCTTTGCCCCTAACAGTGAAACAGCTAAACGTTACGAAACATTTCCTAATAGTAATCATATTTTGAAGGCTCTCCCTTTGGAGATGATGTCCTAATGATTACAGGACACCTTTGCTGGAGGTATTTACATTGCTGTCTCTTGAGGATGCAGTAGTTGCAAGATTACTGCGTACTCTATATGCTAACTGGTTGGTATTGACCAGCCCTCAAATACTTAGGGGGTTGTCATGTACTCTGGATGGCACATTCTGACTTGAAGAGGGGATTAGACAAGATGATCTCCAGCGGTCCTGCCAGGAAGTCAGGAATAAAAAATGGACAAGGTGGGGCAAATACTTTGACCCCGCTGCTTCTTCTATCTCTAACTGCTTAGGTAGGATAGATCAATAGCCTGCCTTCATCTAAATCAAGTCACCAGAGGATACTTTCTATTCTTATGATTTTGAGTTCATGTCTTTGAACTTGTAATCAGGCAGAATCCATACAGACATATCACAAAATTATGAATCTGTTGGTACACAGTGCCCTCCAGATATTTTGGACTACAACTCACATTGTTCCTGATCATCATTCAGGTTTCCTAGTGCTTATCGGTGTTTTAGTCCAAAACACGTCAAAGGCACCAGGTTGCTTACACCTGCTCTATGGTTCAAACCAATCACAGAAAAGGAAAAATGTTACTTTTTGGTGTACATATTCTAGAATCCTTTACTAGCCATGCAGACGGTGATTCTGGAAGGTGTAGTCCAAAAATCTAACTTTTCTGAGATCTGCCCAATTATGTACATATACTTAAGGTGTCTCAATGAGAAAGGCGAAGTGGGGTTTTATGTTAAGTGATCAACTCTACTAGCCATGCAGACAGTGATTCTGGGAGGTATAGTCCAAAAATGTAACTTTTCTGAGATCTGCTCAATTATGGACATATACAAGGTGTCTCAATGAGAAAGGTGAAGTGGGGTTTTATGTTAAGTGATCAACTGTTCTCCTTACAGCCAGAGCATCAATCATGCCTGCAGTTGGTTCAGGAATGAAGGAAAGCAACTGAAAGAAAGATTCCATTTTTTCTTCTCCCACTTTTCCAGAAACAATCAGTTCTTTCATCAGGACTACACAGGCTTCAGTTGTGCAGGAAGGGAGAGCATCTGAGAGAGGTTGCCTGAAAGGGGAATAAAAAGGAGGAAAACAGTATATCATACTTGATCCAGTGGAAAGAATAGTCTTTAAAAAAAAAAAAAAGCAGAACAAACAAATCAATCACTTCCTGTTTCCGTGAAGCTTGAGTAGCTAAAATGAAAGTACGAACAGTTAATAAACCAAAGGTTTATTGAAGACACATCTTGGGCAAACGTATATCAAATAAATTCAACAGTAAGACAGATACCTGACTAGCGAGACTTGCTTGCTACAAAATAAAAGCAATAGCTTATGACTAGAGATGGGGACAAATTTTAAAAATGGTGATTTGTTTTGATCCATTCTTCATCAAGATTAATGGATCAATGAATACGAATATACAAATATCCCTTGATGAATCGATGAATCAGTCAATTCATCTGCATTTTAAATGGCTATAACACTGGCCCCAGATGACCTAGAAACACCAAATTTCCAGGGAGGCTTCCTCAGACACTTTCCTACAACTCCTGATAATTTGGTGGACAGTGGGTCACGGACCCCCAAGTTATATAGTCACAAATGGGACCCCCCAGGAATGCTCCCCCAGGTACTTAGAGAATCCAGGATCACAACGGAGGTTCCTATGTCTTTCCCAAACACACCTGCCAACTTTGGTGAAGATTGGATATTGGAACTCCAAGTTATTCTCCCACAAATTAGGTTCCCCCAGGAGAGTTTACCACACAGCACAGAAGCTCATGGCATTGAGGGAGTTATATTTAGCCCCAGCAGGATGAGAGGTCCCTTTGCAGAGGCACGCAAGAGGCATTCAGTTTGTCTTCAGCTCAGCACAACATTACATTTGCCAGTGAACTAGAGTTTGCCCTCAGGAGGACTGGAGGCAAGGAGGTATTTGGCAGCACAGCAGGCTTTTTTGCTCCTCCGGGCACTGAGGGAAAAGGCAGCAGCAAAGTGGCAGATAGTTGGCAGCAGCAAAGTACCGTGTCTTGCACCATTGGGCACTGAGGTAGTTGGCAGCCAGAAAGCAGGCTTTTGGGCCCCATCAGGGCACTGAGGCAAAAGGTGCAAGAGGCGTTGTCTTGGGGGATTGCCGGTGTGACAACCCCAGACCTACTGGAGTATACCACCCTTTAGTTAAGCTGCCACCAACCAAACCCATGACAGACAGGTACCATCAGTGCTGTATGTGACAGCCGGTGAGCGAAGCGCACTGCTGGCCCTTTTCCCTGAGCGCCTGAGCCGCCACCGAGTGATGCCTGAGAGCAGAGCTCACTCCTGGCCCGTCCTCGAAGAACGGCTCCAAGCCACCAGCAGCAGCTACCACCACCACCTCCTCTTCCAGGTAAGCAGCTCTCTGGCTCTCTTTCTCTCTCGGCACCCCCAGCACCAGCTCAGCCAGCGGCCGCCTCAGCGCTCGGCGGTGCTTCCTCCTCCTCCTCGTCCTGCTTTAGCCGCCTCAGCTCTGGAGGCTGCCTGGGCTCGCCTCACCACATTTGCTCCTCTGTCGTGGTGGGAGTAGCTGCTGCTGAGTACGCCTTTTTTTGAGGGGGGCCCTCAGAGGAAGGTTGCCGGACCTCCGTGTATGTGTGTGTGTGTGTGTGTGTGTGTGTGTGTTTGTGTGCGTGTGTGCGTGCTTGTGTGCATGCATGCACCTGTGAGGGGCACCCCGTTCTGTTTAATTTTGCGGGTACTGATGGGGCTTTTCTCCTTTGGCAAGGCAATTCTGTGAGGTGTATTTTTTAAATTTTATGTTGTGCCCTCCTCCCACATCTCACCCCCGGTTAGGCGGTCACCGGCGCTCCCTCCCTTCTCCTCTTCTTTGTCCTGCTACTGCTGCTGGTGGTAGTGAAGAAGGAGCCGGAGGGGGTCGTGGCCGGTGACGAGGGCTCGCGCACCCCTCCTCCTCCTCCTCTGAGCCCCAGTTGGGCTAAGGAACCTCCTGGGCGGCTTCCTCGGGCTCTTGCTCCGCTTGGCAGAAAATGTGATGCGGCCCTGCCTCACCCAGACTCTGCCTCCAGCGGCCCCCAGGTAAAATGAGTTTGAGACCCCTGGTCTAGATTTATATTTTTATGAATAGGGACCGGTGAATATTTAATGAATCGGCTATATTCATTGAAAAAACAATCCATTTTTTATATTTGTCCCCATCTCTACTTATGACTAGTCCCCCATTCTTGAGCTGTGAGTTGTTCAAGCAGAAAAAGAGGAAGAGGGTTCTTCTCAATGGAATCAGTTAAAGTTGATTCAGTGGCTACTGCAAATGAGGAGGCCCACATCCCAAATCTATTTGATTGGCTAACCATACTTCAAATTTAGAGATTTGTTTCAGTGCGAGCTCCCATGGCACTTGAAACTACACAGCTGAATCCTGTTGTCCTATCTGATGACAACAGGATTCCAGTCATGGGTCTGAGGAAGTGAGTTTTGATCCACAAAAGCTCACTGAAACAAAACGGTTAATCTGTTGCCCTTTTTCCCTCCCCCCCTCTTGCTGATTTATGTTTGTGGAATTGGGAGAAGAGCTTGCAAAAGTTAATCCCAGGGTCTTCATGGCAAGTGAATTGAAGACAAAAATGAGGAATTTGTTCCAACCAGAGGGAAAAAATTCAGTTTCAGAAATGTTCCTGAGGTGGTGGGTGAGGCTCTTAATGCGTATAAAGGGATGAGGCCAGAAAAACCAGAATATTTTAACTTAAAGGTTCTTATTGACAGTAGCTAAAGGTGAAACTAAATGTTAGAAGGATTGTGCATTTCCTGCTATTAGCACCATTGTCTTCAAAAGATATGCACAAGTAATCAGACTTGCAAATTAAGCCTCTGCTTACCTTCCAACGACCAATTACAAAGCAGAACAAGCTAATTTGCAAGATACAGCAGTGAGAGCTACTTTTCCTCCTGCTAGGAAAAACAGATGTCTTTCTCTCTTTAAGGGAGCACTGCTTCTACGTGTAAGACAAATGCTTCACTAAGATAGGATCTGGGGCTGAAAGTTTGAATCCCCTCGATGCCTCTTTCAAGAGGGACCTGATAAAATTACTTGGAGGGTGTATGGCTAATGACTTTACCCGTGTAGCATTGGACAAGCTGTACAATCTCAGAGGACTACCCTATTAAGCAAATGGTAAACCACTTCTGAGTACTTTATATATAGAAAAACCTGGGAGGGCCCCCACAAGTTGGAAATAACTACCCTGTTTCCCTGAAAATAAGACTTAACCTGAAAATAAGACCTAGTATGATTGGTTGTTGTGGGTTTTTCGGGCTCTTTGGCCATGTTCTGAAGGTTGTTCTTCCTAATGTTTCACCAGTCTCTGTGGCGGGCATCTTCAGAGGACATACCTAGTATGATTTTTCAGGATGCTTGTAATATATGCCCTACCCAAAAAATAAGGTAAGTGAAACCCTGCCCTCCACCATTGGGCAGCAACCAGAAGAAGATGACATGACTGTATGATTGTTGTACATGAAAAAATAAAATATCCCCTGAAAATAAGCCCTAATGCGTGTTTTGGAGCAAAACTTAATATAAGACCCTGTCTTATTTTCGAGAAATCACGGTAGAGGATACATATTGAAATGAGCAGAGAAAATCTTGCAGCTGACTACCAGCTGTGTCAAGCCTAACCTGAACAACCTTTTTACAAGTACCCTTGAGGATTCATATTTCTGGTCCTTTCGATCATTGTTGTAGTTGGGGTGGGAGCTATCTTACCAGTCATCTTGACACTTTGATGAAGATCTCTGCCACAGGCTCATTAAAGCATCAGAAGAGAGATGCCGAAGCTCAAACACCAATGTCATGAATAGCTCTGCAGACTAGAAAGAAAAAAAATGGAAGTTTTGTATATAATTATACATGAAAGAGTTAAAAATTTGAGTGACTTAGTTTTTCGGGCTCTTTGGCCGTGTTCTGAAGGTTGTTCTTCCTAACGTTTCCCCATTCTCTGTGGCCGGCATCTTCAGAGGACAACAACCTGTGCTCTGGTGTAGTTGGCTTGGGAATGCAGTATTTATGGCTGTGAGATAGGCTTTTTTGCTGTGGGTTATAGCAAACTTCTACATGGAGCATTTTGAAAAACTAGCCCTGGCTTCTGCACTCCTCGCACCCACAGTCTGGTTCCGATATGTGGATGACACCTTTGCAATTTAGAGTCACGGTGAAGAAAAATTGGAAGAATTTCTCAACCATCTCAACAGCATCTACCCAAATATACAATTCACCATGGAAAAAGAAACAGAGGGCCAACTCCTGTTCTTAGATGTCATGGTCCTACGCAAAACTGACCTCCGACCTGGACACAAGGTCTACAGAAAAGCCACCCACACAAAATGTCCAACCACCACCCACAGCAAAAAAGAGGCATAATCAAAACACTGGTAGACCAGGCAAATCGGCACTGTGAAGCTCAGTTTCTCAGCACTGAACTCAACCATCTGAATTGGGCCCTACAGGCAAATGGCTACTCCAAAAATGAAATCACAAGAGCCATCAAACCTAGAAAACAACACTGAACTGAAGAAGAAAAACAGCCACCCACAAATAAAGGAGTTCTGCCATACATCAAAGGGGTCACGGACCGCATGGGGAAACTTTTGAAAAAAACACAACCTACAAACAGAATAATTCTGAAGTTGATCAGAAACCTTTGATTAGTTGCTGTAAAAAAACAATGTAATTGGTCAAAATGATAATTTTTTTACCTTTTCTTCACATTCCTACTCTCACTCTCTTTGATGGGAAAAAATTTATTGCCAGACTTCAAAGCTAGTGCTGGCTGGAGATCCAAACTACATATTTTGTTGCTTTTGGAAGTGAGGGATAGGCACTCCTTTTTCGACAAATGCTGAGCATTCTGTTAGCTCACAGGGTCTTTACTGAAGTGCCTGCCTTTGGTACACAACTATACAACATTGTAAAGAGTTTGCAGTGCAAACCAGGGCTGCAACAATCTGCCGGTTGATCAAACTCAGAAACTTGACAGCTAATGCATAACGTGCTCCTTGACCGAGTGAGTGAGATATTTATTGATTTTTAAAACTTACCTATTAATATCTGATTTTCTATTATAACTACTTCCCAATATAATTAAATGCAATCATAATTTAATACAGTATTTTGCACTGCTTTAAATATATTGTTTGTCCTAAAGATGAAGACAGCTGGATTTTACGTTCTCAAAAAAGGGGGTTTGAAACCAAGCACTGTCTGTTTCCCAAGACGGTGCCATATGCACTTTTTCAATTATCGTCACAGCAACAGTCCTATGAAATGGGCCAGGCCGAGCAAGCATGGCTGGTTGAAGGCCACCATAGGAGTTTTATGGCGAAGCCAAAACTTCAGCCTGGATCTTCACAATCCTTTACATTGATTACACTGGATCCAGTTAATTAACTAATTAATTAGTTAACAAGATCAGTGCTTCTCCGCCTTAGGTCCCGAGATGTTCTTAGACTTTAATTCCCAGAAACCTCGGCCAGCACAGCTACTGGTGAAGACTTCTGGGAGTTTTAGTTCAAGAACATCTGGTGCTCCAAGACTGGTAACCACTGAATTAGATAATCTAATCTTGACGGGACGTTACTTATTTTAATGACAAATATATTCTAATGGGCTGTTATGTATCCATCAGGACCCTTAAGGATCCTTTCACAACAAGGGGATGGGAATCGAAGCTCGCTCCAGCTCTTTGGGCTCCAGGCTCTGTCGACTGGTCTGGCAATCCATCTCCAAAACAGCTTTCCCTCCCACTTCCCCTTGCAGCCCAACACATTTGCTTATTTAATGGCCCATTACTTGATCTGCATTTAAATCTCATCTGTTCTCACAATGGGTTTGGGAAACTGACTCTGCAAAGCTCCTCTGTTGAGTGACATGCTTTTCCTCTGCTGCGGAGGGTTTCTCCCTGCACTCCCCTGTTATTTATTCTTGGGGTTTTGTGAACAAAACACATAATCTCACCCCATTGAAAGCCACAACAATATATGGGAGAAATAAGACTATAGATGGCTACTAAAGAAATGGTTTCCCAGGCAATGATGTGGACATTTCCCATCAGGCTTTTTTGAACCCCCAAAAAGGGCATTTTTTTCAAGAAAGAGATGGAGATAGGAAGGAAGGGGGTGGGTGTGAACTAAGAGTATAATAGGGACACTATGTCCATATAATAGACGCAGCCCACACAGAGGATACTGAACACAGGAGACCGTCTGTTCAATACCAAATCATGCATATTATTCACCCCTCTTTTGAAGGCCCATAGAAGCAAAGTAGCGGTTCCCTCCAAAGCCCAACAACAGAAGAAGGGCCATCACTCATTGCGATGTATTTATTCTTCACACCAATAGTCTGTACTGGCTCTACCATGAGGGAGAACGAGGCAGCTGCCTCAGACATCAGATCTGCAATGTCATAAAAGGCCAGCAGATAGTTAGATACCAAAACATTTTGCTGCCTAGGTCAGGGCAGCAAAATGATGCTCTCTTACCCAATTCCTGGTGCATCCAAAGGGAGCCACTTTATTTTGGCACAACACAAAAAATGTAACAAGTACATTTCCCCAAACCTGACAATAAAATTACCCTCCCCAAACAAATCAATTTTATACTCCTTCATGATATTAAATTTTTGCTGCCTTAAAGTGTGCTGCTTCAAGCTATCTCTGGGAGGTTTAGAATTTAATCATGCAGGCTACACATTCACACACACCTATCAGTGAGCTGGGTACACAATTTACCCGCTTCGGAAGAATGGAAGGCTGCCTGAATCTGTTGGGACTGAACACAGATTGGGAGTAGAGATTTGACTGCAGTACTGCAGTTTAACCACTGTGCCATGAGGCTCCTTAGGCCTTAGATCAGACCTGGGCAAAGTGCGGCCCGCAAGCCGCTCCTATCCGGCCTGCAGACAGTTTTGAACATCAAAACCATTTACAGTGGTGCCCCGCATAGCGACAATAATCTGTTCCGGGTGAATCATCGCTATCCGGAAACGTCGCTATACGGGGCAAAAACCCCCATAGGAACGCATTAAACACTGTTTAATGCGTTCCTATGGGGGGAAAACTCACCGCTAAGTGGAAATCCTCCATAGGGCCGCCATTTTCGCTGCCTCGGTAAGCGAGGAATCGGCGCGAAAATGCTGCGGGCAGCAATTTTGTTGACGCGGCGGCCATTTTGGAACCGCTGATCAGCTGTTCTAAAACATCGTAATGCGAAGATCAGTAAGCGAAACACTTACTGATCATCACAATGCAATGTTTACCCTATTTAAACATTGCAGTGCGATCACAAAAGCAATCGCAAAATCCACATCGCTATGCGGATTTGTCGTTAAATGGGGAGCTCATTATGCGAGGCACCACTGTATAGCTTTTTGTCTAAAGTTGATCCGTTGCTTATCTTTAACATACCACAAAAAACTCTTTAGTATTTGTGAAGATTCACAAATTTAAAATAAAAACAATCATAACACTGTTTCATTTTATTTTTAAGTAAAGTTGGTTCGGCCCCCGAACACAGTTCAGCTTTTTCATGTGCCCCCCTATAGAAATTAATTGCTCACCCCTGCCTTAGATCATCACTAGCGATGGGGGTAGTCGTATACAAGTAAGCAGCTAGGGTTAACGAGGGTCCACCCCCTCAGGCAGGAGCATCCACTCACACGTCTGGCGGCGCCAGCAGCCTCACTCATCCTTCCAATCACTCCTGGAGCCCCGTTTTCTTCCTGCTTGGTTGGCCACTCAGTAGGTAGCCATGCAGGGAGACTCATCCTCTCTCATCTATCTTTTAATGATGAGCACCTATAATTCAGAAATTTACCTTTGCTTGTAGGAAATTGGAAATATACAAACTAAGAAGGAAATCATACATATTTTGCCCATAATGCCTATAGTTTGAATTAATTTCCCCTCGCAGATCACATGGTAATGTGTCACTTATGGGTACACCCAGAAGGAGCCAAAGACCATCTGTTGCCTGGGGAGTCCACTCACATGTCCGGCAGCACCATCAGACCCTTGTTAACTTCAGCTATGAGGGGAATATTTGTAATTGTATATGAATACAAATACAGTGGTGCCTCACATTACGATGTTAATTAGTTCCAGCAAAATCGCTGTAGAACGGAAACGTAAAGTGATATTAAAAAGCCAATA